CCCTCCTGGACCCCCTTGTTTTTAAGGGTTGTTTCCCAGGGTATGCTTTGGACTATGCTTAATCGAATCATATGGTTACAAGCTGTGGTTGAAATAGTTATAAATCAGACTGTGACAGGATTACAATTGATAGCTGAACAGCAGCAGCAAAGTAGAGCCACAATATATCAAAACAGACTAGCCTTAGACTATCTTTCGGCAGAAGAAGGAGTGTGTGGAAAATTTAACACCTCGGATTGTTGCTTACAGATTGATGATAATTATGAAGCAATAATGGAAATAACCTCCAATATCCACAAAATAACCCATGTACCAGTCCAAAGCTGGAAATCCATGCTAGATGGAGGGTTTTTCCTTTTGTGTGCTATTGCCGGATTGCTATTTTTACCCTGTTTAATCCCATGTTTCATAAGATTGATACTAGTGTTGTTCAAGGGATGCAAATGTTTGACATGCCTATGGATCCAAAAACTGCTGCAACAAGAGGCCCAGGAACTTGAAGATTATGGTCCTACACCCCGTCCCCAAACAAACTAAAGACGCGAAGAATGCGCAGAAACTGTTGTTTGAATAGGAACGCTTCAAGAAAACAGAGAATATGGATGAAACTATGGACATATTAACCAAGTGGGAGAGAGGCCAGAGGATAAGGGGGTGATTTGATGTATAATCCCTTTGATGTTATCATAAAAAAAAAAAAAAACAACACAAAAATACCCCTGAGGATTATGAGAAATAAAATACGGTTTTTTTATAGACATATCGAGAAGTTGTAAGGTATCCAAGTTCCAAACTGGACTGGGTACTAGGGTCTTTTTTGTCTGTGATAAGGGAGATATAAAGTTCCTAAAAATTAAAATCTTTCTGGACCATTTGGCAAATTCTGAACACAGGGTTTCTTTTTCTCTCTGGACTAAGAACAAAGGAAATCCATCATTTTTGACAGAGGACGCCTCACAGTCAATTGGAAGGAAGGGAAAGCCCCTTTTCAGAGAAAAGAAACCTTTTTAGGCAAAAATGAATATATTAAACTTAGCTGAAAAAGGGTGGGATTTTGTAAAACTATAAAATGCATGAGATTTAAACCCAAGGGGTCTTTTCTCCCTGGAAACTTGGTGAGAGGAAGACCCAGTGTGCTGAATACATTCTTCCTTGTTGATACAGTTTCTTTGTTCCATGAGTTTATGCCATCTTTCAAAATTTAAAAGAGGAATTTTTTCCCACATTATGTTCCATGTTACCACAAAATTGGAGTGAAATTTCTCCAGGGGTTACCTGACTTAAAGTTACAGATAATTTCCAAAGTTTTTCACTCCTCTACCTGGAAAGACCCCTCTTAAAAGTTACATTACAACCAAAACCAGGGTGAGCTTATCCAGGGGACCCCTCGTAAAAGTTAATTTCCAAAATTTCACCCCTTTCTCCCTGGAAAGCACTAAGTTACATCACAAATTCAGAGTGAAAACTTCTCCAAAGGGCACCTGGTAAAGTTACAACAAATTTCCCAAAGATTCACTCCTTTGCTTTGGATAGGTACCTCTTAAAAGCTACAATGTGCACATTAACTTAAAAAATAAAATAAAAACCAAAACTCAAAAAACAATTCTGGAGTTGTAAAGTCAGTCATAAAGTCATACAGTCATGAAGTCAAAAAGGAAGGTACCTTACTCTGTCTATTGCAAAATGATCGATCATAAAAATTAGCAATTATAAGGTTTTGGAATGAATAGTTTTACTTCAAGGGAATCCTGTCACGTGATACTAATAAAAAAATGTTGCAATCTGCTTAAATGTTGCAGAAAGAACTTCAGATTCGAATATTCCCTTGAGCAAAATTAAAACTCACACAAGTTATCTTTTGATACCAAAAACTGATTTTATTAATTGCTAAGAGATGCAAAGAGAAAGAGGAAAAAATAAGAAAATGTTGGAAAAAGCTAAGATTACTTTTAGAAGCAGAGAAAAGATACCGCCAAAACTACCTTTCTGCCGAGTTGGTGGTGGGAGGGAGAAGCAGTTTCTGCCTTTTTTTTTTCTCTTTCTCTGCTACTTTTTGATGTTATTTCTTTAGCTGCGGGGGATGGGAGGGGGGGGTTTTAGCAGCTTTAGTTCTCTGGAATGCAACCAGGATGTGTGGTTTCATCACTCATGTTGAACCATGTCTCAGACCATGCAGGGTCCCTATTCAGCAGCACATTTTGGCCCTCAGAAATATGATAAGGGTAGAAGGATAAGGTATAACTCACACATGTGGCACAGTGGGGTCTCAGTTCTTTCCAGGTCGGCAGAGTTTCAGTCTCCGGTGGCAGGTAGCAGAGAAAAGGTGGGGGGAGGTGGGGAGAGATTCTCGGCTACGGTAATCAGTTCTCTCTCCCTTTCCTCTCCCTGATTTTCCAAGATTTTTCCTCAACTTTTATAGTGTTCAAAGGAGGTTATGTGTGGTTTCTTGGCACGTAGTCCTATTGAGATGTTCGAAGAGATATGATAACCATAAACAATAGCAGGATCTTTTGGCAGGAAAACTCCAGCAGGAAGTTCGGGTGAGAACTTCTGGCAGAAAACTGACAGAGAATTTTTGGTAGGAAGTTTTGACAGGCAGAAACAATGGTGAAACATTATTTTTGACATTTCTATATTATCTGGTTGTTATAGGCAGAACTGGGCAGAACCGAGGGGTGGATAGATCTGGGATTGGATGGACCTTATTATAAAATCTGGGATTGGATGGACCTTATTATAAAATCATAGAACCACTATCTGGGGGGTGCGCGACGTGTGTATTCCCTTGGGCCTGAGGCCTGATTAAAGGACCTGCTCTTTTTATCTTATACACTAAATTGGTCTGGAGTCTTTTTCTCCATGGTCTCTTTAAGCAACATTGTCCATCCTTTGTTCTATAGAGATGCTACATTACAACTGGATGAATATGAGCTGACAGTCTGCCTAGGTGGGCAAGAAGGTTGATGGCATCCTGACTCGGCACTGGTCAGGCTGTACCTCGCTTTCTTTTCTTTCTTTCTCTCTCTCTCTTTGTCGACTCCAGATCTGGACCATTCACGTGCCAGGACGAATGTGGGATCTAAGGACTGGTGATCTTCTTTTTTCCTCTTTTTCCCTTTTCTGCCTTTATTTCTCCCCTCCCTTGCTTTGTCTTGCAAAGTGCAGCTATCATACTCTACCCCTTACTCCATATTGGAGTTGGGAGTGTGTTGAAGTGTGATGTAAAAATTAAGGGCTTGTTAGCCAACACTTTTGAGACTAAATAGTGGGTTAAGATGATTATACAATTAAACATAGGAGTTCCCTGACACATGGACTGGTGTCTTTGTTCAACCTGATGAGAATTTGTAACGAACATCACAGCCCCTACTGAATGGCTTGTGGCACCATCTTGCTAAAATAATCTGCTCTTGTTTTTCCATTATTAAAATGGGAATGATAATGCTTGTTGTCATGTGAAAAAGGGGTGTGTGTGAAATTTGCCCAACCCTTAGAGAGGGGAGATTTTCTCGACTTTCAGTGATTTATTTGCCTGTCAGTGCCCCAGAGAAAATGAAACCCTTTATGCCCTATGAGTCTGTCAGATGTCCTGTGAGGGAGGTTTTGGTAGCAGCGGGGGGGGGGCTACAGGGGTGGCTTCTATTAGAAACCGCTAGAAGCTTCCCCTAGAAGCTGGCTCCAGGACAGACTTCCTGCCGCTGGCCAAGGCCAAGACAATCAGGAGCAATAGTAACACCTCTGTGATAACATATTTAAGAACAGAAGATTGTTGCGCAGAAAGAATTCCAGCCAGGGAAGAGCGGAGTGAGAACATGGGAACAACAAAGTAGACACCAAGGTCAGTGCAGAAGGAGGGGGAGGAGGTGCTCCCAGGCACCAGAGCTGAGGCCCCTGCAGCCTGTGGCGAAGACCACAGTGAAGCAGGCTGCCCCCCTGCAACCCATGGAGGAGCCCATGATGGAGCAGATGGATGCATGAAGGAGGCTGTGACCCCGTGGGAGGCCCAGGATGGAGCAGGGTCCTGCCGGATACCTGCAGACCATGGAGAGGGAAGCCCACACTGGGGCAGGTTTTTCCCAGTTAGGACTTGTGGCCCCTGTGGGGGACCCACGCCGGTACAGCTCATTGGTGAAGGACTGCACCCCATGGAGGAGTGACCCACGGGACAGCAGTTTGGGAAGTGCTGCTGCCCAAGGGATGGACTCAGGTTGGAGAGGTCCATCAAGGACTGTCTCCTGTGGGAGGGACCCCACAGGAGCAGGGGAAGGGAGAAGGACTCCTCTCTCTGAGCAGCAACAGAAACAACAACTGACCGTAACCCCCATTCCCTGTCCCCCTGCACCACTGGGGGGGAGGAGGGAGAACACAGAAGGAGGGGTGGAGGGGAAGGTGTTTTTAAGACTGTTTTATTTCTCACTCTTTGGCTCTTATCCTGTTAGTAATAAATTTAAGTACTATCCCCACTTTGAGTCTGTTTTGCCTGTGAAGGTAATCAGTAAGTGACCTCTCCCAGTTGTTATCTCAACTCATGAATCCTTAGCTGATTTTTTTTTCTCTCCTCTGTCCAGCTACAGAGGGAGAGTGTGGCTTTAGTGGGTACCTGGCAGCTGACCAGGGTCAACCCACTACAGGGGTGCCCTTCACCAACAGATTCACAGGATCAGAGGGGTGATCCAATTTGCCCTTGTCGGGGGAACTGAGCCAACAGCGTAAGGGAGACCCCTCAGCAGGCCTTCCAACATGTTATTCTGGCACAGGCAACTGCCAGCACCTTATAAAGGACTCACTCTAACAGTTTACGGAATAACACTCTTTATTAATACACATCGTGATAGGTTAATAAGGTTCATAGGTCATCAATGATAGTGTCTAACTGCAAAAACACGTTTAAAGCAATCTAATAATACTATAAAGCAAGCAGAAACACGAACTCTAATACAAAGCAATCTACCAATATACTATATGGCAAAGCACAAGCTCTAGTCCTGAAAGCAACATTTACCATGCATAGAATAAGTTTCTTACCCCGTAGGTGTCCCTATGGGGGGGAGGACAGGTTCAACCTATCGACTGTTCCCAGCAGTTTTGGTGGAGTCTTTCTCCAATTTCTTCCAATTTCCAACTTACTTTTATATTATTTCTTTAGGTTTAGGTGGAGCTTGACTGACTTTAGTCATAAGTACTTAATTGGGTAGTTGTCCTTGGCATCTATTTCCCTTGGTGGACATATACCTAATTGAAGAGGTCAAATTGAGGGAGACGTCCATGGCGACCACCAGAGGGATGAAGGCTTGAGGAGAAGACTCCCACAGTAGAAGGCTGCGCATGTCTGGAAAGACTCTACCCAGAGACTAGCCTATATATTAATATGTATAATAAATGATGTAACGATGTATCTAAAGTGTATAAAATGGCTTAGTTTTGCACTTGCAAGTCAAGCAAGTTTGTCCAGCGCGAACTGGCTTACTCCCAACATTGAATAAACAAATACCTTGCTGCTTAAAGATAAAAAATGTCTCTGAGCAGTCTTTCGGACCCGATTTTTCGCATTCAAAGGTATCCCTGCCTGTGGCAGGGGGATTTGAACTAGGTGATCTTTAAGGTTCCTTGCAACCCAAACCATTCTATGATTCTGTGATTCTTTGAATAGGGCTCCATCTGTCTGGTGACCAGTCACCAGTGGTGTTCCTCAGGGTTCAATTCTAGGACCAGTTCTGTTCAATATATTTGTCAGTGATCTGGATACAGGAGTTGAATGTAGCATTAGCAAGTTTACTGACAAGACTAAGCTAGGATGTGCTGTTGACTGTCTTGAGGGACAAGAGGCTTTGCAGAGGGATCTAGATAGATTTGAATTTTGGGAAATCCTCGATTATGTGAAATTTAATAGGAATGAATGCCAGATTGTGCACCTGTGATGGAGTAATGCCAGACACAAACATAAATTGTACTCTATGAGGGTGGTGAGGCACTGGAACAGGTTGCCCAGTGGAGTTGTGGATGTTCCATCCCTGGAACTGTTCAAGACCAGGTTGCATGGGGCTTGGAGCCCATGATAGGGGTGTTGGAACTAGATAATCTTTAGGATTCCTTCCAAACCGTTCTATAATTCTATGAATTTGGGAAAGGGGTGGCTGGAGACCAGCCCTGCAGAAAGGAATTTGAGGGTGTTGGTTGACAGCAGGCTCAGTAGGAGTCAGCAGTGGGTCCTGGCAGCCAAGAGGGCAAACTGCATTCTGGGGGGCATCAAACACAGTAGAACCAGCTGGTCAAAAGAGGTGATTATCCCACTGTATTCAGTATTGGTGTGGCTTTACCTTTAGTACTGTGTGCAGTTCTGGCTCCACAATTAAAGAAGGGTATGAAGGTACTTGAATGCATCCAGAGGAGGGCAACAAAGCTGGTGAAAGGGCTGGAAGGCATGTCCTGTGAGGAGCAGCTGAGGACTCTGGCTCTGTCTAGTTTGGGGAAAAGGAGGTTGAGCATTGCTCTGTACAGCTTCCTGAGGAGGGGAAGTGGAGAGGGAGGTGCTGAGCTCTTCTCCCTGGTATCCAGTGACAGGATGCATGGGAATGGTTCAAAACTGTCCCAGGGGAGGTCCAGACTAGACATTAAGAAGCATTTCTTTGTGGAGAGGGTGGTCAAACCCTGGAACAGGCTTCCTAGGGAGTTGGTTGATGACCCAAGCCTGTCAGTGTTTAAGATGCATTTGGACAGTGCCCTTAATAACATGCTTTAACTTTTGGTCAGTCCTGAAGGGGTCAGGCAGTTGAACTAGATGATCATTGTAGGTCCCTTCCAATTGAAACAGTCTATTCTATTCTATCCTATCCTATCCTATGCTATCCTATGCAATCCTATCCTCTGAAAGAGTATGTGTCTCTTTGCTACCTATAGAAAAAGCCAAGGAAGAGTAACCACATGAAGGTAAATGGACTTTTCTTAATTTTAAAGAATATAGGCGACATACCAGGGAGAGTTTTCTAATGAAGGGAACACGTTGATGCTTTTCTAACACTTTGAGGGAAATTGTAGAAGGCAGGGATCCTTATCACCAGTGCAATGACTATTTGACCCAGTTTTTTACAGTTACATTCTTAAATGAATGGATATGTGCTGAACATGCAGATGTTTCCACTCATCCGCTTGCATAACTATGGTCATCTGCTCTTAGTTTTTTTTTAATTTTGTTTTTTTTCAGTAATCATACCTTTAGACTTTATGTAGCTACATAGGAAATTATGCCAGTGTATGTGTTAGAGTCCAATACTCTCTGACCAGGTTCTTTTAGATAGTCCACACAAGGAAGTTTTACTGTTTAATATCAAATGCACTTATTTGAAGATATTTGGTGTTATATAGCACTTTGATTTAGCAGAGAGATACAGAAATATACTGAAATCACAATACAGCATAATATAGCAATTGCAATATGTAGTTCATTCACAGTAGAAATGTGATTCCCTTTCTCAGTCTTTATATGCTCACTGTCATGATGCTGGACATCCACAGTTGCTGGGAAGGAAATGTGGGTTGAAGTCAGCTCAAGTCTCTCTCTCTTCAAAATTAATATTATTATTTGTCCAATTTTTATATTTTATGTTGGGCTGAGCCATGTATACACCACCACCCTGCCTTCTCCCACCCTCCCTCCCCTTTCATTTGGCTAGCTCAGGAAGACATAACTCTCTACTAGTTATCACAGGAAAGGCTGTTTATACAACCTCTGATCCTTCTTCCATTGTGGGGGTGTCACGTGAAAAGGGGCAGAAATGTGAAGATTTCTTGTCCCACCTGTATTAATATATTTTTTATTGGCTATCAGTGTCCCCAGAATATCAAAGCCTTTTAAAGCCCAAAACAGTCTGTCTGCGCCTCACCTAAAGAGACCCTTCACTAGACAGATTCACTGTGATGGACAGGACTTTTGATACCCTGATATGGGGATGGCACTTAATAGCAATGGAGAACCTTCTCAGTAAAGTTCTCCTACAAGTTATGAGGCTACCAGTACCAGAAACAAACCGGACTAACTCTAGCAGCTCATGAAATAGCAGTTATTAATACAAGTATGTGACAAACTACTGCAGGGTTCGCGTCGCTGGTGATAACGTTTAATTGCACGATGGCACTTAGCTAATAAAAAAACCAAAAACCAGAAGCACACTCTACAAAACAACACAACTACCTAAGCCTTAATACAAAACTCAAGCAACCCCCCTCCACGACAGACCAATTTACAAAGACTAGAACAAAATCTAAACACACTCGTTAACACAAAGCAAAAAAGAAAGAATATAGCCACTTCCCACTAACACACATTTTAACTCATTAAGATAAGCAAATGCACACCTTAAATCAAACGAACGAGTTGGCAATAAAGTGCAATATAGGACAACAAAAAAAAAAAGAATATAAAGTAAGATATATACCCAGTAAGTTACAAGGTGTAGGGCAAGGTAAAATTAGTATCTATAAAGCAAAGTAACAAAGTGCAATTAGTAAATAAGGTATCTATGGGGTAAAGGTGAAAGACGGTATAAGGCAAGGTCAAGGTAAAGAAAGCAGAGGAAATGGTTGCTCACCCCTACAGTGTCCGAAGGAGTGGAAGGAGACAGGGCAGCTTGTTAGTTACCCCCGCAGAGATGATGGAACTTCTCCCCAATTTTACTCATGTCCGATCTCTTTATACTTTTTTTCTTAGGCAGTTTGAGTGACTTTAGTTAATAATAATTTTTGGGGTGATAGATGACATAGGCCTAAGGGCTGGCTCCCTGTGTTCCCGTAGGATGTTGGGAAGAAAGGTCATGCTATTTCCATAACACTCCATCCTTCATTAATCCTATCAGTCTGTTGCTGTGAAGTCTCCCCATTTTGTTGAGGACTTTTGGGAAGCCATCGGGGTCTCTTTGTCCCTTTTTGTGTAACCCATTATCATTTGACAATGGGTTTCTGGGAATGCCCCCTCCAGGTGCTGAGGTGTTTCCCCTAACCAATCAGGACGGTCATCATGGCCTTAAATTGGTCTATCACCCTACAGGGGGTTGTGGCAGAAAGGGTTAACACTGTATAAGAAGAATGTCTCAAGGAACTACGGGAGATGTAGTCTCCACAGCAAACCCCCTGGAGAGAGAACGCAACAGAGCATGCTCACTGAAGGACTGGCTAAGAACTGTGGGAAATATCTGATGTCACAGGAGGTATATAAGAGCTTGTTAGCATGCAAATAGTTGATTTAACAGCTGCACATGCATCTGTTTGGTCCATGCCCATACAAATGCTATAGGGGGTGTGTTGGTTGGTCACAGCAAAACAATGTATGTCCCTCTTGTTCTATGAATAAAATAAGGCTATGAGAAATCACCAGTGTTTTCTATACTAACATACTGTATTGGCACAGTGTCAAGGCCTTCTCTGTTTCTCACTCTACCCCAACAGTGTGTGCAATAGGTTGGGAGGGGACACAGTTTGGACAGTTGACCCAAACTGACAAAAGGAACATTCCATGCCATATAATGTCATGCTCAGTGATAAAATTTATAGGATGGAGGGTTAGGTAGGTAGCCATCTTTTGCTTGGGAACTGTCTGGGCATCGGTCTACCTGTGGGAGAAAATGAAGAATGGCACATCCCCTTACTCTCCTCTCAGTTTCTGAAATATCCTTCTGTAATCAGACTGTTTGTACTGGTGTGTGTCATGAGCCTGATTTTGGTATTCATTACTGTTTGTAAAGTTAACCAACTAATTGGGAATGCCACACAGGAACATACTCTAAGGCAGTCAATCCCTGGGTTGCAGGGTGTGTGGGAGGATTTGGTCAGATGCCTAGAGTCCTTATCACCACCTGGGATTTTACACCTGAACAGACATGTAATCCCATTGAATTAGCACAACATTTAAAGAAGGGGAACTTTACCTGCCCCAATGAAACACAGCAACTTCTAACACTGTGCTGGGGCCTGGACCATACTTATTGAGCTGCTGTCCAGCACCCTCAAAAGAGAAAGAGGGTCTCAGTCTAAGGGCACACAAATGGACACTGAGAAGGTCTCTCACTCTGAGGCGACACAAATGGACATTGTGGCTAAACCAGAGGCCCGACCTTAAGTTATAATATTTACTCCTATAGTCACAAAGAAATAGTGGAAGCAGAGGTTGACTTGGTTAGTAAGAGAAGAAGCAGCTCCTGCAGGGAGGGGGAAAGAGGAAGAATCAGAAATAAAAGAGGCAGAAACTTCACGGTCTCTATCCCTGAACAAACTGCAAGATATGCAGAAAGATTTCATCCATCAGCAAGGTGAACAAATTGTTACTTGATTACTCTGATGATGGGATAGTGGGGTTAGCCACCTGGATTTAGAGGAAAAGAAACACAAACAACTGGGTTTTATGTCTAGGGTCTATGGCACTGACAAAGGGATTGGAGGAGGGGCAACCAATTGTAGCCTCTGGAGGTGACTCCTATCAACTGTGAGGTCAATGTATCTCCTCAAGTAAGATCTTGTAAACCAGTGTAGGGAGAATACCAAAACCCAAAGTTCAGTAAGGAGTGCATGTGTTGGTTATGGTTCACAGGGGACAAACTGCCTACATATCGGTTGTGGTTTAAGCCCAGTTGGCAACTAGGCATCACCCATCATCATGGCTAGGCTTCGCGAACAAAGATTTAGGAAGGCTCTATCCACGTTTGTTACAAGCACGCTGGTGGCTAATGAGGTCAATACAAGATAGACATATCCAATTGCAAAAGGCACAGCAGAAAGACTCCTTAGGTGGTATATTCTGCAAGGCACGATTCTTTCTGCCTTGTCTTTTTTCCTCGAGAGTGATTCTGAGTGTTCTCAAAGGAAACAGCAGCGTTATAGATGGTGTGTCTCCAGGCCTCCCGATCTGAGGCCAGAGTAGACCAGTTATGTTGACCAATATGACCGAGGTTGAGATGTTGTTTCAGGGAGTCCTTGTATCTTTTCTTCGGGGCTCCTCTCTTGCGGCAACTGGGGGCAAGTTCACCATAAAGCATGATCTTAGGGAGGCGGTGGTCCTTCATCCTTGAGACGTGCCCGTGCCCTGCCCAGCGCAACTGTGTTCTCAGCAACATGACCTCAATGCTTGTGACTGCTGCTTGTTCAAGAACAGATGTATTAGTCACATAATCTGACCAGTGGATGTTTAGGATTGTACGGAGGCAGCGTTGATGGAACGCTGATATGGTTTGCAGCTGACTCCCTGCCAAGTCTCCAAACCTTACCACAAGAAGTCGTGTCCCCCCCCAAACCTCAGGGAGAAGAGGGAGAAAAACAACCAAGAAAACCCGAAACGAGAGAGAGACAGTTAAAGTGATATATATAAATATATTTATACTTATATTACAATTATATACAATTAAAATTTATACAATTCCACGAGGGAAAGGGAAGGGAGAAGGGAAAGGGAACAAAACCAAAATAAAATATATATATATATATATATATATCCCAATCAGTAACCCGAGATCTAGTAACTAAAGAGTTAGCAAAGAAATATCCCACCACTCTTCTTGGGACAGCCGAGAGTCGCTCCGGGACAATCACTGGCAACCTCCGCCTCCCAAGGTCAACAAGGCCTTACCAGGCCTCGCTCCCCAACACAGTAGACTCAACAGCAGGGAACCTGCACCTCCAAGCCACCGGAAGGAAAGAGAGTGAAGACCTCTCCTCCTTTCTTCTTGTAGTCTGGTTTACGTAAAAATCGTAGGGAATACTGGGTAGATCTGGACCCTTCCTTGGTTACAAACTGGTCACCAAGGAAGGCCTAGCTCAAACCACCACATTCTCCACCCCTTATTCCATACTATTTTTATGTAACACCTATACCTCACATTCGCCTACATCCCTATATATATATACATATATATATAGTCCTTGTTGGTCTCTCGGCGCAGTTGTCTCATTGTTGGAAATCAATACTGACATCAGTTCAGTTCAGTCCAGATCTTCGGTCTCCTCAGTCACAATTGCAGTTCTGATTTTAGGACTGTTTTGTCATTCTGGGCTGTCTCAACATTGGATACTGGCATCAGCTTAGTTCAGGTCTCTCTCTCTCATCTGGTGACTGGCTTCCTGTAAAACACAACTCAGGACATACAATTAGTTTTTCCCCCAAGGCTAAATTTCCTTGAGGCACACATTGGATTACTCTATCCTTCCTCATTATCCACCACGTATGTCCTGGTCCTTGAGCAAAGACAATCCCACGAATGGGTTTGTCTTGGCCTGAGGCAGGGGTAACCCAAACAGCTTTCCCTAGCATTCCCCTCAAATGGATTGCTGGAACTTTATCTCCATCAACAATGTGCAGGGATTCTGCTTGTGCAGGGCCAGCTCGATTGACAGAACCCCTGGTGTTAACTAACCAGGTGGCCTTGACTAAGTTCTTATCCCAGTTCTTGTAAGTTCCCTCACCTAGTGCCTTGAGAGTTGTTTTCAACAGTCCATTACATCTCTCAACCTTCCCAGCAGCTGGTGCATGATAAGGAATGTGGTACACCCAATTGATACCATGTTCCCTCACCCAAGTGGTAACTAATTTATTTTTGAAATGAGTCCCGTTGTCCGACTCAATACGTTCTGGGGTCCCATGTCGCCACAGGACTTGCTTTTCAAGGCCCAGAATGGTATTCCGGGTTGTTGCGTGGGGCACTGAAAAAGTCTCTAACCATCCGGTGGTTACTTCCACCATGGTAAGCACGTAGCACTTACCTTGGCGGGTCTGTGGCAGTGTGATATAATCAACCTGCCATAACTCTCCATACTTATACTTATCCCATCGTCCACCATACCACAGGGGCTTCAGTCTTTTTGCCTTCTTAATAGCGGCACAAGTCTCACAATCATGGATAACTTCAGAAATGATATCCATGGTTAATTCCACCCCTCGGTCTCGTGCCCATCTGTGGGTGGCATCTCGGCCCTGATGACCAGAAGCATCATGGGCCCATCGAACTAGGAACAACTCTCCCTTCTGCTGCCAGTCTAGGTCTACTTGTGACACTTCGATCTGTGCAGCTCTGTCCGCTTCTCTGTTGTTATCGTGTTCTTCATTAGCTCGCTTCTTGGACACATGGGCATCTACATGGTAGACTCTCACATTCAGACTCTTCGCTCTGGCAGCGATGTCCTGCCACAAGTCAGCAGCCCATATGGGTTTTCCTCCACGCCTCCAGTTCATCTTCTTCCATCGGTCTAACCATCCCCATAGGGCATTGGCTACCATCCACGAGTCGGTGTAGAGTCTTGGCCATCCTTCTCGTTCAGCAATGTCCAGGGCCAATTGGACGGCTTTGAGTTCTGCAAATTGACTCGACTCACCTTGACCTTCGACAGCTTCTGCCACTTGTAGTGTGGGATTCCAAACGGCTGCTTTCCACTTCCAGTTCCTTCCTACAATACAACAAGAACCATCAGTGAAAAGGGCATAACGCCTTTCTTCATCTGGCAGCTCATCAAATGGCAGAGTTTCTTCAACTCTGCTCACTGGTTCTTCTTCTTCTTCTGCCAGACTGAAATTCCCACTTTCAGACCAATTTGTGATAACCTCCAGAATTCCAGGGCGATTTGAGCTTCCCAATCGTACACGCTGTGTAATCAAGGCTATCCACTTGCTCCACGTAGCATCGGTGGCATGATGCGTAGGGGGCACCTTCCCTTTGAACATCCAACTTAGGACTGGTAGTCGGGGTGCTAGGAGGAGCTGTGTCTCAGTGCCAACCACTTCTGAGGCTGCTTGTATGCCTTCATAGGCCGCCAGAATTTCCTTTTCCACAGGAGTGTAGTTGGCTTCAGAACCCCTGTAGCTTTGACGCCAGAAACCAAGTGGTCGCCCTCGCGTCTCACCAGGCACCTTTTACCAGAGGCTCCAGGAGGGACCTTTATCTCCAACTGCAGTGTAAAGTACGTTCTTCACGTCTGGTCCTGTCCGAACTGGTCCAAGAACCACAGCATGTGCAATCTCTTGTTTGATTTGTTTGAATGCCTGCTGCTGTTCAGGACCCCATTGAAAGATATTCTTTTTACGGGTCACAAAGTGAAGAGGGCTCACAATCTGGTTATACTCAGGAATGTGCATTCTCCAGAAGCCTATGGCCCCCAGGAAAACTTGCGTCTCCTTCTTGTTGGTTGGTGGAACCATGGCTACAATCTTATTGATGACGTCTGTTGGTATCTGGCATCCATCTTGCCATTTCACCCCTAGGAACTGGATCTCTCTGGCAGGTCCCTTGACTTTATTCTTCTTGATGGTGAAACTGGCATCAAGGAGAATTTGGATGATTTCCTCTCCTTTCTCGAAAACTTCTTCTGCTGTGTCCCCCCATACAATGATGTCATCAATGTACTGGATATGTTCTGGGGTCTTGCCCTTCTCCAGTGTGGTCTGAATCAGTCCATGGCAGATGGTTGGACTGTGCTTCCACCCCTGGGGCAGTCGGTTCCATGTGTACTGCACACCTCTCCACGTGAAAGCAAACTGCGGCCTGCACTCTGCTGCTAAGGGAATGGAGAAAAATGCATTGGCGATGTCGATGGTGACATACCACTTTGCTGTCTTGGACTCCAACTCATACTGGAGCTCCAACATGTCTGGTACAACAGCACTCAATGGTGGCGTGACTTCATTCAAGCCACGATAGTCCACCGTCAGTCTCCATTCACCATCGGACTTATGTACAGGCCAAATGGGGTTATTGAAGGGTGAGTGTGTTCTACTAACCACCCCTTGGCTTTCCAACTTGCGGATCATCTTATGGATGGGTGTCACAGCATCTCGATTCATCCGATACTGTCGCCTATGCACTGTCTTAGTGGCTGTTGGCACTCGCTGGTCCTCAACTCGCAGTAATCCTACAACAGAAGGATCTTCTGAGAGGCCAGGCAGGGCAGATAATCATTTGGATTCCTCTTCAGTCACCGCGGCTATACCAAAAGCCCATCAGTACCCCTTCGGGTCCTTGAAGTATCCTCTTCTGAGGTAATCCATGCCAAGAATGCAAGGGGCTTCCGACCCCGTCACAATGGAATGTTTTTCCCATTGGTCTCCTGTCAGGCTTATTTCGACCTCTACCACTGACAGCTCTTGAGACCCTCCTGTCACCCCACAAATTGAAACAGTCTCTGAGCTCACATGTCCTGAGGGCATTAACGTACACTATGCGCCGGTATCTATTAAAACTTGGTATCTCTGAGGATCCGATGTGCCAGGCCATCGAACCCACACAGTCCAGTAAACTCTGTTATCTTTCTCATCCCTCTCCTTCTCCTGGCAGAAGGCAGGGTCCCTCTATTGGTTCTGGTCGGAGCATTCACCATTGGATCTTTGCTTTGGCTTGTCAGAGACTTTCTTGTCATCCTGGAAACGGACTCCAGACCTCCTGCGTCTAGGAGATCTCAGTTCTCTTTCGAAGAAATCTGTATCTACTACGTAGATGACTTTCTTATCACCTTCCTTGCGTATTAGTTCTCTCACTCTGGTCTCGAGTCTGGAAGTAGGTTCACCATCCCACTTCCTCATGTTTTCTCCTTGGGCATGCAGATAGGACCACAGTTCACTGCGCTTAGATCTACGCTTAGGGTTTTCGTTCCTTCTGCGTGTGACGGAAGGAGATCGTGAGCGGGACCGGGACCAAGATCGAGATCGTGGTCAAGACCGGTCTGCTGATCTGTCTCTGTAGTGTCTGTCCCTGTGGTCTCCGTAGTCATCTTCATAATCAGAGTACCCGTAAGACTCGTCTCTCTCAGGTCTTCGTCTGTAACTAGAATCAGAATAGTCTCTAGAAAACTCATTCCTAGATTCTACTGCTTCTTCTAGATGTCGTAGAACTGTACACAGCGTACCCACAAGCGTTTCTTGCGTGTTTGGAAGTATTACTCCTGCCAAGGTATGAACATATGATGCAGGAGCACCCTGGATTATCTTCTTCCACATGGGCATTGTGCAAGTGACACCCTCTGGGTCATCAACGACGGGATCGTATTGAGCGTCATCATACATGTCTTCCAACAATGCCAATTCTCTTAGGTACTGGATGGCGTCTTCTACCTTGGTCCACTTACTCATGGGGTACGGTAAATAGTCTTTAAATGGAAACCTTTGTCTTGCACTTAAGACAAGTCGCGCCCAAAGACTGAGGTCGGGTTTCTCCTCTGCAATTATGTGATCGAGTTCACGGTCTTTCGAGATGGAAGCTAGTTGTTCTGCTTCAGCAGTTGACAATATGTGACCTCTAGCCCCACGATCGCGGCATCGGAGTAACCATGATAGAATTCGCTCACCAGACCGACGAGTGAAATCTTTTTGTAAGTCCCGGAGTTCTGATGGGGTCATTGACCACAACTCTGTAGTTTCCATTTTTGGGGGTGGTACTACTCGTGGAGGTGGAGGTGGAGTTTTGGCACTGGTATCAGTATCAGTCCCCTCTCCATTATCTTCTGACTTGTTTTGATTCTCATCTAGTCGTAGGCTTAAAGTTTCTGGCGCCAATACCCATGACTTCCTTTTCACTACAGGGGCGAGAGGTATCTCAGGTGGTGTAGTCTGGGTTCCACTTTCAGTGCATGTAGTAGAGGTGGCATTGGTCTCAGGTGGCAGGGTTTGAGTTTCTGCCTCAACCTTAGCCTTCCGAGCATAGTCCACAGCAACTCCATAGGCACTTGCAAGGCCCCAATACAAAGCAAAAAACTGCATATTTGGGTCCTCGTAAGAAAAACACCCTTCTGCCAGATGACGTACCACCTCATCAGGATCGAACACCTGCTCTGGTGTGAAATCCCAACTAATGGGAGGTGTCACGCGCCCTACCAATTTACCAAAGTTGACCCAGATTCCTTGCCATCCAGAGACTGGTTTTCTCAAGGCCCTTCCCAAAGTTCCAGCAAATCCCTTTGAGTTTTGGCGTTTCCTGCAACAAGAAAAGCAGTACCACACCACCTTTCCAATGTTAAACACCATTTCCATGGCTTTTAGGAATAGAAGAATCGTTGCCAAACAATTTAGGTAAGGATTGGGACCAATTTTGATCCCAGGGACCTCAGTCACTAGGCCTTTGATGTCATAATTAAGGAAAGGCAGATATTGGTAGATGCCTTTTGGGTTAGTTCTCACTGGATACCCAGAAACATATATAAAAATGGCCAAAATAACCAAGAAAATGAATAAAAAGACCATGTTTATATATTTTTCTTCCTTTGTTCCCAAACAAAGCTATGTTTATATAAACAGTAGGTTCTTGGCAGCTCTCCCGGTAGTGTTCCCGAGTTGGTGTTTGCACCAACTTGACTCCCTTCCCAGACTTGTTCCCAAACAACCGTGGCAAAACCAAAACAAACCGGAGATAACCGGAGATAAACCGGAGATAAACCGGGCGGAAACACCAGATAAGGTGATATAGTTTGAAACTGGCTCCCTGCAAAGTCTCCAAACCTTACCACAAGAAGTCGTCCCCCCCCCAAACCTCAGGGAGAAGAGGGAGAAAAACAACCAAGAAAACCCGAAACGAGAGAGAGACAGCTAAAGTGATATATATAAATATATTTATACTTATATTACAATTATATACAATTAAAATATATACAATTCCACGAGGGAAAGGGAAGGGAGAAGGGAAAGGGAACAAAACCAAAATAAAATATATATATATATATATATATCCCAATCAGTAGCCTGAGATCTGGTAACTAAAGAGTTAGCAAAGAAATATCCCACCACTCTCCTTGGGACAACCGAGAGTCGCTCTGGAACGATCGCCGGCAACCTCTGCCTCCCAAGGTCGACAAGGCCTTACCAGGCCTCGCTCCCCAACATGGCAGACTCAACAGCAGGGAACCTGCACCTCCAAACCGCTGGAAGGAAAGAGAGCGAAGACCTCTCCTCCTTTCTTCTTATAGTCTGGCTTACGTAAAAATCGTAGGGAATACTGGGTAGATCTGGACCCTTCCTTGGTTACAAACTGGTCACCAAGGAAGACCTAGCCCAAACCACCACAGCGTTCTAGGAGACGCGGGTGGTGGCGGTAGACGACCCATGTATATGGAACCATATAAGAGAGTAGACAGCACTATGGCTTTGTAAACACTGATCTTGGTACTTTTCTTCAAGTGTTTATTATGCCATACTCTTTTATGGAGTTTTCCAAAAGCACTATATGCCTTTGCTAACCTGTTGTCTGTCTCCCCGTCAGTCTTACCATCTGAGGAGATGAGGTTACCTAGGTGTCATGGTTTGAGATAGCCCCAAAATCCAATTCTCTAGCTCCATCCCCCCCTCCCACATCTCAACCTAATGTGAGATGGGTTTTTCCAGACAAAACATACCAGACTCAAAGTGGGGGAAAGGGAATATATTGCAATGACTGTACAAATAAATACTATAACACATTATACACACGATCACAACTATCTCTACCATGACATATAGTATTTAAAATGGACCAGATCTCCTCTCCCCTCCAAATAAAAGTCCAGGAGGGAAAGAAGGACAGATGCCTTCCAGTCTCTCAGGGCAGCAGCTTCTTCTAAGGCAGCAGGTTCTCCTCATCTCATGCATGCAGCAGCTGATAGTTGGATCTCTGCCAGCACTCACGAGGGGGGTATCCCCCTCGACCCCTTGACGCAGGCAAAGGGGTCTTCCGTGGGCTTTGTAACCCCAGACAAGGCCGTTTCACCACGTCATATCACGAAGACGCAGGGGGTCTTCGTGACGGTCTGGTATCTCCAGGAGATTCAAGCTCCTTGTAGGGCCTCTGTGCCCTGTCTCAGACTGCGAGCTTCTTTGTAGCTTGCAGCAAGGGAGGACCCCCAAGGCCAACCTCCCACACTGTCCTGGCTCAGCTCTCAGGACGACTGAACTTCTCAGCTCCTCTCTGCAAGTGCTGTAGCACTCCAAGGCTCCTCTCCTTAGTAGGAGTCCATGTCCCTCCTTTCCTGGAGGTCTCAAAGGAGTTTTTGGGGGTTTGGTACAGTTCTTACCCCCAGAACTCCGTAACTCTGCTGCGGGCTCTCTTTTCCTCAACTCTCCTTCCAGGAGTCTTCTCTGTGGTTCAGTTCTTATCAGTTGACTCCCAGCCACAACCTCTGGACGCTGCCGCCGCTTCTGCTCTGTCTCTGCTCACTCATGATGGAAAACATCTCCCAGCTCACAGCTACAGACACATAGTCCAGTTAAACACTGTTCCAAGTCTCTGTAGCCCCCAACTGGGGCTGGGGGGCCCCAGAGGCCCCGAGGGGCTCCGGGCCCCTTCCTCGTGGCTACTACAACATGGCTACTTCTTCTAACAACCCAACTACAACTCTTCTCTTCCGGTGCTTGTGATATGTTTACATTTCGGCAGGAGCACTCATTGGACAGAACTTCAAAACTTCCAGGGGTTTCCGCCCCTGGGGGTTACCACTTTTCATCCTCTGGGGGAAAACAAGGTTCAAACCACTACACTAGGTAATTAAACTGCTGGATTGATTTAAACTCTGATTGACCAATGGTGATATGGGGATGATGGAAGACTTCCTGAGGTGCAGGTTGATAGAGAACTTAAGCACCACCCAGCCGCTCACTTAACCCCTGTCTCTACCCCCCACCACAGTAGAATGGGGAGGAGAATCAAAAGTAAAACTTGTAGGTTGAGATAAGAACAGTTTAATAATTGAAAAAAAAGTAAAATACAATATTATTAGTAAATAATAATAAAAATTATAATATGAAGGGAAAGGAAAAAAACCCAAACAAGTGATGCACAATACAATTACCACCTGCTGACTGATGCCAGACTTCATTCCCAAACGCAGATCGGCCTCCCCCTTCCAGGTAACTCCCCCACTTTATATACTGGGCATGATGTTCTAGGATGTGGAATAGCCCTTTGGTCAGTTCAGGTCACCTGTCCCAGCTAAGCTACCTCCCAGGGTTTTTTTGTGTACTTCCTCACTGACAGAGCATGAGACACACACATACACAAAAAAGAGTCCTTGACTTAGGATAAACGTGACTTAGCAAAAACCAAAACATCGGTGCTTTGTCGGGGTTAACAACAGGTCTGTCGGAAGGAAGTAAGAAGATGGAAAACAGGAATTACAAAAATGGATTTCCTGAACTTTCTGCAAGTCACCGTGACTCTGCTTTAACCAGGTCGTCATGATTAAGCAGATGCTGTATCACCATGACTTTGCTATTTGGCAACCAATCCTGATGTATGTGTACATAAAAGCACCAATTACAGGTTAACATGTATGTTGTGTTAAGGTCTATAAATGTCTGTAACCTGTTGCAGTAAAGAATCCTTCTATCCTGTCCCTGCTTTGGAAGAAGATGATTCTGTGTCGCTTTGGTCGTCTCAACAGCGACATATGGCGACTCTGAGGCGATTGCTGTACTGAAGAAGATTTATCTCCGAGAGAGAGTTCGAGGTGATTTTTCTCCAAGAGAGAAAGAATTTGAAGATTTATCTCCGAGAGAGATAGAGTTTGCAGTGATTTCTCTCCTAGAGAGAGAGAGGGACTCGTGGGTCAACGCACGAGCTTTGAGAGCAGTGGAGTTTCTGCCAAAAGGTCCAGACCTAAGACTTTATCGACATCTCATTAGGTAAGTTATCGGGGTGTGCCATCAGGAAAAAACTGTAAAATGGGACAGTATATAGTTAAAGAGGAAAATGTAGTTTTATCTATGTGAGAAATAAAATCTCAGATTCAAGTAATTTCCAATTAGAATTTATTATATGGTGAGAGCAACCAGTGCTGTGGTGTTGAATCCAAAAAATCCGGTCCGAGAAACTGCTCAGAGACTTTTTATCTTTAAGCAACAAGGTATTTGTTTATTTGTTTATTCAACGTTGGGAGCAAACCAGCTCACACTGGACAAACTTGCTCGAAGGTTTCACACAAAATCAGCAGTTTTTATACAATCTTCGTATATGATTAAATGCATATTCAAGTGATTACATCTATCTATACATATTAATAACAGGCGGAGTATAGATGGAGCTCAGGAGGGGCTTGGGGCGGTCCTTCTCTTGGCCCTCGATTTTGGTGGGACATCCGCTCTTCATCCCATGGGTCTGGGGGCTAATTCTCATCTTCCTCGACCTGACCTCCCTTCTCTTCTATTGTTCTTGACCCGCTCACTGAGGCTTGGAAAAAGCCCTGGCTCCTGACCTATTTCTTCTATTCAAATGTCTACCTTATCCTACTGCATTTCTAATTTATTACCTCTAGGTCTATTACATGTTCTTGTACTATTCTCTTAAGCTTTGGTCCAACAAGTAGAACAGAACAAGCACAGATCGTTTTAGATGTTAGT